GTGCATTGTACTTCGCAACTTTTATTGACGATTTCTCACGAATGATATTCACTTTTGTTATGAAACGAAAAAGTGAAAATTTCAATGGATTTAAAGTCTTTAAAAGATTTTCTGAGAAACAAACTGGCAAGAAAATTAAAGCAATCATAAGTGACAATGCAGCAGAGTATTTGAGTACAGATTTTAAAGAATATTTATTGGAGGAAGGAATTAGACATCAGCTCTCAGTTGAATATTCTCCTCAACAAAATGGAGTTGCTGAAAGAGCGAACAGAACTCTGGTAGAAATGACTAGATGTTTCATAATTCAAGCGAACCTCCCAGATCCACTTTGGGCTGAACTTGTGCATACATCTACATACATTAGAAACAGATGCCCAAGAACAAATGAAAGTCGAACTCCGCATGAAATATTTACAGGAAGAAAACCAACCGTTTCTCATTTAAGAATGATTGGATGTAAATGTTTCGCTGTTGACAACCGTCCGAGAAGAGGAAAATTCGCTCCTCGTAGTGAAGAATACCGACTGGTTGGCTATTCTCCCGAATCAAAGGCTTACAGATTATGGAAGCCTGGGACAGGCATGATGATAAAAAGTCGAGATGTACGTTTCCTCGAATCTGAAAACTCTACCTTAAGGAATGACGTGGTGCAAATTGAAGCTATACCACAGAAAAAGGAAGATAAATCATTGGAGGAGGAAAGTCTTCAGGATGATAAAAAAAACTTTGCCCGGAACTGATTCGGAGTTTTTAAGCGAACCATCAGAAACAATGGAAGTCATCTCGCAGAGAGGAAGAGGAAGACCAAGAATTTTACGTACTGGAAAACCAGGAAGACCACGAAAGGAATACGTTGAAGCTAATTTGTTTAAGGATTTTAGACAGAACACCAGTTTGCCATATCCTTGTCTAGTGAAGATTCGCATCTATGGACAGGGGCAATGAAGGAAGAGTACAGTTCCCTTTTGAAGAATGGAACTTGGGAACTTGTCGATCCTCCTAAAAACAAAAATATAATAGGAAATAAATGGGTCTTCCGAAAGAAATTTAGAGCCGACGGCTCTATTGAACGGTATAAGGCTCGACTTGTAGCAAAAGGTTATTCCCAAAAATACGGTATTGATTATGAGGAAACCTTTGCGCCAGTTGTACGCCACAGTACGATCAGAACAGTTTTAGCCTTGGCCGTTGAATATGAATTACTACTCCATCAAATGGATGTTCAGTCTGCCTTCTTGAATGGTGATGTCAAAGAAGAAATTTACGTGACACAACCAGAAAATTTCGAGTCAAAGAAATATCCAAGAAGGGTATGTAAACTAAAGAAGGCTATATATGGTCTGAAACAGGCTGGAATGACTTGGCATGCAAAGCTCGATTCAGTATTAAAAGAAATGGGCCTAGAACAGATGAAAACTGATAACTGTGTCTACATTAAAAGAGAAGAAGGAGTTCTTCTGGTTGCAATATATGTTGATGATATGATTATTGCTGCAGAAGAAGAGAACACGCTGATTAGCTTAAAAGAAAGTATGAAGAAGTTGTTTGAGATAAATGATCTTGGAGCATTGAATTATTGTCTTGGGATACGGGTACAGAGAGGAGTGGATGGATCTATATCTCTCGATCAGGAAAGGTACATTGAAGAACTTCTAGAGAAATATTAGATGAAAGAATCAAAACCGATCTCTACGCCCATGGACCTTAATTACAAAGTGACAAAAATATCACCTATAGATGGTGAGAATGAGCCAGTAGAAAAGGTAGAGTATCAATCTTTGATAGGATCACTGATCTACCTATCTGTCTCAACAAGGCCTGATATTGCCTATACGATCAGTACTTGAGGGCAATTTAGCAACGATCCTAGAAGACAACATTGGAATATTGCAAAGCGTGTTCTCCGCTACTTGAGAAAAACATCGGGCCTAAAGATTACTTTCAAAAAATCGATGAAGCAACTTTATGGTTATGTAGACGCGGATTGGGGCGGAAACCTCATGGACAGAAAGTCTCATTCAGGATTTGTGTTTTACTTGGCGGGCGGTCCAATAGCGTGGGAATCCAAAAAACAACAAACTGTTTCCCTTTCAAGCACTGAATCGGAGTACATCACACTTTGTGAAGCTGGTAAGGAGGCTGTTCACATAAGAATGCTTTTGGATGAATTAGGATTTGGTGAAATATTGGAAGGACCTACAGTTTTGAGGACAGACAATCAGGGAGCTCGGCAATTGACAAGGAATCCTGTGTACCATGCGCGAACGAAGCACATTGACATCAAATGGCATTACATCAGAAATATTTATAATGAAGGTCTTGTCGAGGTCGTCCATACACCAACCCAGGAGAATGTTGCGGATGTCTTCACCAAGAGTCTGACAAAGGTCTCTCATGAGAGATGTATTCGTGAATTGGGAATGTAGAAATTGAGGGAGGGTGTTGGAATAATCAATTTCAACATTTTACTCTTCTTTTATTTTTGTTGACCAATTGACCGCTATATATATAAATTATTTCTACCATTGTTGTGGTGGAGTATGTAAAGCAAGCTGCTTTAAGTTTATGTAAAATTTGAGCATAACTAATTAAACTTTCTTCCTTTTAAAAGCCATTCCTTTTTTTTCAACAATCCCTTATTGTCATAAAATATCGTTGATAATATATTCACTCATTGATATTGTCATAATATTTAGGGGATAATCATAAAATTAATAATATCAATAAATATTACTGTATAGAGAGTAAATATAATCAAATGTATTCATTATATAAATTGAACCTAATTTTCAAAACTAAATGGAAAAGATACATCAAATTAATAAATAGAATCAAATAAAATATATGTTTAAAATATATATAATAAAAGAGTTTGAAAATTTGAATAGAAGCTACAAATAGATGAATAAAATAAATAGTTTGAATAAATATGAATAATTCAATAGAAATGAATGTGTAAATCACAACAATAAATAAGAGATGTTTTAAATATACGTTATTTACATTATATATGGCTCATAGAGAATATCTTCTCTGCAGAAATAAGTTTCTTTTATTGACTTGGTAAGTAGCAATACTCACTTATATTATTTTAAAATACTTTAGTTAGCATTTGTTGATTTTGTAAAATTATATGGCTACTTTAACCTATTATTTATTTAATTCTCGAATTTTCAGTGATTCGCTGTCAATCTCCTCAGGGGAATGATTATTTTGAATCCTATTTATACTTATATACATACACGAATTCCTAAAATACTTGTAAAGCGTCACGTATTTACTTGAAAATTTTGGTGATTTATTTAGACCAATTATTTTTGGTTGAATGTGTGAATGTCGAATGGTGACCATTTTGTATAATGAAAGAGACAATACATAGGGTTTATAATGGATCTTATCATCATTTTATGAGCTAAACTTATTTGTTTTATTGTTAAAAGGTAAAATTCAACAAACATTTATAGAATATTTAATAGACTAGAAATATTATTTTACATCAGTAATGAACCCTCCTATAAATTTTGTCAATTTGATATACCAAATTGTCATAACTATTTATTTTTTGCATATCTTTCTCATATATGGTTGGCATTTTGTGCTACTCAATTGAAACAAAATCATTTCAAAATTACTTATTGTGATTATAAATAAATTTTAAAAATATAGTTTATATACGTGTGTGTGGGATCGAACCTAGACCGCGAAGACGGCGGTTTTGATTTCCGACCATCACGCCAAGGAAAGCGTTTGCAAAAAACAAAAACAAAAAAAAACACTCAGTTTCGAACTCGGATTACCGAGAACACCAAGTCTTAGGTCTACCAACCCACAATGTTTGAATTCTCTGGGATTTTATAGAAGAAGAGAAAATGACAATTAACACAATTTCATTGAAATCTTGCCAATACAAGGTTGAAACGTTTACTCTGTACTATTTAGGTAATCAAAAATAAAAATGGCATATCCTGACCAGGAGCACATGTGCTTTACAGAAGACAGAACGCCATCTGGCGGAACATTAATCAACTAAACATTGATTTAGCCTGTTCCCTGATATTTGGCCAACCAAATCGAAAATAAATAATTAAAAATTATGATGATGATGCATATATTAAAACAATCAGATATATATATGTACAATGAATATGTAGATGTCAACACTGCCACCACTGAGTTTGATGTAAGATCGCCAGAGGGACTCCAAAGAACATTAGCATGCTCCCTGCTCAAGAATGACACGCAAATCTTGAAGCCTTCCGTAGAGAAGAAGAGAGCGGAGTATGAGATTAAAGCAACTTTTATCACGTCGATAAGATTCTATATGTCTGAATGCAAATAAAGTTAGGAATAAATATCTAAATAAATAAAAATGAAGTGAAGAGAGAAATAGGAGAGATTAATTATTGAAATTTTTACTCCGAGCATAACTCTTCAGCGCAAGGACAAACATATGTCTGTTTAGACAACGTTATCTGAAAGAGAGTGAACACGCCACATAGTGTTATCTGTCTGTGACACTAAAAACCGGCTGAACACTAGTTACAGTTAGATGAAACTGGAGAATCCGTTAGTAGGGACCTCCACTGAGAGAGATGAACCACGACCTTCTAATAGTTTCTAATCTATTGATTTGATGTTTCAGAAGTTTGGTATTTCAAAAATAAAATAAGATATTCAGATCTAATATAATGATCAATTCGATATTACCACAATAGTTCTATTTTGTTCCATTCTAGTCATATCGTTGATATATGAAATAATTAAACTTTAAACCCTCTAAAAATGTGTCCATATATTTCGGTCGCTATAAATTATTATAATACAATATAATGCGGCTTGTGATTGTAAAACGACATTTAAATATTATCCCGCATGAGTTTCTTTTCAACGAAAAATCAAAATTTATTTTAAGGAGAAATAACGATTATTTCTAACCTTAGGGATGAGGTATGAAAGGATGAATTGTGAAGAGCAATGATGAATGGAAAAATAAAAGTGTCCAGGGATGGGAATCGAACCCACAGTGTTCCGCTTACCGGGCAGATGCCATGTCCTCTAGAATACCCTGGACATATTTTTCCGTTCGTAAATAATACATAAAGTATTCATCCTTTCATACCTCATCCCTAAGGTTAGAAATAATCGTTATTTCTCCTTGGAATAAATTTTGATTTTTTCGTTCAAATGAAACTCATGCGGGATAATCTATATATTATTTTCATTAAATATATAGAGCAGTGTGTATATCAAGACACAATATTATTTCAAATAGCACCATTAATATAGCACTATCTATCGCTATAAATTGGAAAATATTCAAAGCCTATATATATATAATATAAAAAAGATTTTCTGCTTGATTTTGGTTATCTTGAGGATTATGCTATGGAGTTATTTGCTGGTTCTTTTTAGTACTAAATGGTATAGGTAATGCAGTCATGGTTGAAAATCTTGAAACTATTATAATAAAAATGATGATTAGAAATAGCTTTAATTGAGCTTATGGGATATATAGAAAAAAACATAATTTGGTAAAAGTACTGCCTGGCTTAAGGCGAGTAGAACAAGGAAAACAAAAGATTATTTACATAATATACAAACGGTTTGAGCCGGCCATCGGTAAACAACAACAATGAGGTTTTATATGGGAAGCGTGACCTCTGGCGGTCGATTTAGCAGAGTATTTGAATATATGAAATATAATTTTTTGAATAAAATAATATTTTAATATAACATGTATATATGAATTATTTCTATACTTCAAAAACATACACAATAAGGCATAAAGCTTTTTTATCAATATATGTACTAAAAATATACCTTTAATTAGACTCTATGAGAGCTAAGATATACTGACATTTTCAATGACAACAATAATATTTGTATATACAAGTGAAATGTAGAAATTAGAATATATATATTATATATATACATTGAAAGGGAAATACAGAAGGACAAAACCACAGGCACCTCTAAGCTGCAAGTTCCACCAGCAAGAACCTTTTGTTCGCTCCATTATGACCAGACTTGGGGTCGTCTAAGAAGGGTAAGGGAGATGGAATTGCCCCCTTGAGATGTCGGCTGAGACTTCTTCTTCCTCGGGGAGTTTGTGCTACTGGATCGTCAGTGTTTTCCGTGGTTCCTAATGTGGTTCCCCTGCTACGTTCATTTGGCCTCTTTCTTCTTGAGTGCAGGTCTGTATTTGAGAACTTGAATATTTATACAATAAATATCTTTTCGCTTTTTTGAAATGCAAACTTACAAGAAAAATATCTTTCTGTAGACGTTTCTCAATGGAGATCGACTAATTATTAACTAAATAGTCAATATAGATAGAAATCTTCCCATAGGAATATTAATCTATAATGGTAAAGGTCCCTTCTCTTGTCAACACTACACGCTATTATTGTCTAGTCACTTAGCCAGCTAAAATATATTTTGGCAGATTGTGAAAATTCTATTTCGTCTCGTGTGAATCTCATGGAATAAATATATATCATATTCTCTATTATTTATATTAACTTCAATATATTAATGATCAACCCCATCATGGAATTGGACATTTAAAATAGCAATTGTATTATTAAATATATTAATCAATTTTTTTTTTCAATTTTTCAAACACCTTAACTCTAGAAAATTAAAGGAGAAAACGCAACAATTGTACTATAACAATAAATAATTTTTAGATTGCAGTTATTGAATTCCATTGTTAATATAGAGCTTATTATAATTCCGCATTAATTAATATATTGAATATATCAAATGACATAAAAGTGTTGGCATTTTTCCTGAATTCTCAAATCTAGTGTAGTCCGTCATTCTTTATCACCACTATTAAAATTTCTACTAATATTATAAGCATAATGCATTGTTCTAATTCATAATTAACGGAAGAGATTCATATTTTGATAAAGAAAGTGAATATATATTAAAAAATAGAGAGGTATCTATAATCAAATATATTATGAAAATGTTTGTATTAAATTCAAAATATAATGTTAAATTAAATTCGGTTAAATTCACCTGAATTTCTATTAGCAGAACGCCAACCTTTAATAAAATACATAAACATGTTTACTTTATTGAGAAATAAATTCTAGCTAGGTATGAAGATATTCAGAACCTAATCAAGTTGAAACTGAATTAAATCATATTTGACCAAATATTCATATTTTCACAAAATAAATACCATGTAACACCTTTAAAACGATTGGCATTTGTCAAACAATGTAAAATATATCATATCTTCGATAAATATATTAATATACTCGACTTTTTAATGTTTATTTCTGCGTGTTTTTCAAAATGTGTTGAATATTTTGATCAACTCTCCATTAATTCTAATCTTCTATTCCCTCTACGCTAGATAGAGAATTAATGGACGCTCCCAAGAATTCCATCTCTTTGTCCCAACTCTATTTATTTAAAGGGGCACCAGTTAGGGAGACCATCTCCTGCGCTATTAAACCGCCCGGATTTATGGTGGCAGAAGAAACTTGGATGCTTAATAAAAATGCACCTTCAGGGCAAATATCGACTCAGCTAAATGGAACCTTGCTAATCTTGGCTCACGTATGTTTGTGGACGAAAAAAAACCTTTTTTAATCTCTCCCAGATTTAATATTTTTATCGAGAAAGGCGTTAAGCAATTTTAAATATAAAAAACAGATACACACTCCAATAAAAAATTAAAATTTGAATATATTTATTATTCTATCTAATTTTTGAACACTTTATTATTGTAAAGGAAAAAAAATAATTTTGTTTATATGTTATATTGTTTAATTAAAAAGGCATATATTGGATAAAAATATCATTTATTTTACCAATATTACAGTTGGCTGAACGCCAACCTTTATCAAGGTGTTATAACATTTTGAAGTTTGTCAACAACTTGTGTTATAACACCTTGATAAAGGTTGGCGTTCAGCCAACTGAAATATTGGTAAAATAAATGATATTTTGATCCAATATATGCCTTTTTAATTAACGATTTATTTATGGATTGCTCTACTTTCAAAATGTTAAATTGTATGTGATGTTTTTATATAAATTTTAGTGTGAGGTGTGATTAGAAAGTTTAAGAATACAAAATACACTCTCCAAAAACTGACCATATCACTCTCTTTATATTTAACTCCATATAACCATATATGAACTATGTAATTAAAAGTTTCAATCTCAATCTCTCTCTATTTAATAATGTAATATATAATAAATTATAAATATATATAAGTTGTTGTTGTCATGTCCAATGAAGAGCCTCAGATGTCTCCATGCAACTCTATCACAGCGGTTACAATATCTTCTATCTTGGGTGTGTAAAGCTGCTGCTCTAGGTCCATGTCGATTTTCTGCAAGGCTGCGGCTATTGCTGGGCATGAGAATATGTGAGTAGGTGTTAATTCCACACCAGGACAATTTTTGAATGTCCTATAGGTTCTTGTGCCATCTGGATGTATTGTCATTCCTTTATAGTGTTTTGTTCTAAGTCTTGTTATAGTTTTGATAATTATTCTTTCAGAGGTTATCTCACATATTATATATATATATATATAAGTAATATATATATATAAAGATACAATAGACATTTTGCATGCGCCTTTTTGTATCCAAAAATATATAGAAGAGTAATAAAATATTTCATGTTTATTTTGGAAATGGAATACAATTTAAACATTTAATATACGGTTAGGATATATTCACAAGTTATAGCATATATTCAAATATTCAGTGTAAATAGAATACAAATATAATCTAAAAGGTTTTCCTTTTTCAATGGAAGAAGTGTCTTTCCTTAGTTAAATATAAATAAGTATTTACTAGTTTAAAAACTTAATTTTTAAATTTAAATTTGAGTAAAATAGTTTTATAACTCAATAAAGGATATTGTTCCATTCAAATTATTTGATATTTTCTGCATCTCATGGACGACGATTAAGAAATTTAATATTTATAAATAAAGGTAATTATGAATTGATAATGAACTTAAAGAAGAAATTATCAAAAGTTACAGTAGAACATTTCTCTAAAAGGCAACCCTTAGTTTCAAATTCGTAATGTCCTTTAGATAGAGGTTTGCTCTTATCATTAAGCAGCTAATTAATAAAAATGATCATTTTAGCCATAAACCGTAGTACTATTGTATAGAAGTTTCCGTTAGAGAGTGTATTTCTCATGGAGGTACTATTGAAGTAAAATGATGAAAAATTTTCAACGGCATATGTATATTAGAATGAATTACGATAGATACCTTTCTCCATGTCTCTAACTTTCTCAGTCGTCAGCAACGTTCAACCATTTTTAGATATTTTTCACCAGAGATAAGGAATAAAAATAAAGAAAGAAGAAGAAGTTTCACTCTTGTAACGCTAAGGTTCATTAAAGAAGACATTGATGAACGTATTGTAGAACAAGGAGAGTTGCCACAAAGATAGGGCAGACATTATTGAAACGAAAATATTATAACAATATTTTTAAAACAATTATTATAAACTAAACACATTTTCGCTATTAATGGGTATAACCGAAGTTTCCTGGGTAAAATGCATATGCAACAGGCGTTGACATTTCTGATTGCCTCTTCGTTCGAATCATTAAAACACTTTTAAAAGATTAAATTCGTGTATATATATAGTTTATTTCCATATTGCCTTTTATATTCCAATATTTATTACTTCATTCTGTATTAATTCAGGTGTTGATGCATTCATGCCTTTAAATGTGAATAGGTCAAAGGTAGACCCTATATGTAAATTCATTGTGCATGAAATACATATAAAGAGAAAAAAAAAAGAGGAAAAAACAAATTATTTTCTAAAACTGAAGCATCTTTCAAACAGGATAATATATGGAACATATTTGAAATAATATTTGGAAATGAACTCAATGATACTCAGTGAACTCAGTGATGTTTTAAAAAAAGCACACACACAAAGCCTTTATTGAGACTCTATGGTCTCACCCAGATTTTCCATTATATGGGGGGGGGGGGGAAGGTAAACTATATAAATAAAAAAAGAAATTCAAGAAAGATCCAGTTAATTAGACATGTCTTTGATTTTCAA